AATTTGTAATTTCCATTAAACAGTGAAAAAAATTACCTCCCTAGTCATTAAAAGCTCGTTAACAGTTAGATAGTTCTCCTCTAGACTTAAATTTCTGATGCACTCTGACATTCATAAACCTCATGAAATGCTAGTTTTAGAATTTGTTTTTAGGAAAACATTGTTGAAAGCACGAATTAATGATAATTTAATTATAATTTAAGGAAAAAGATACAGTTTCTTCTAATCTTGTCGAAATTTTATTACATGTCGCGTTTATTACAGTAGATCGCGATAATATTCTCATTATTATTCACAAAGTTGCGTGAATGAATCAAAAAGTTTATCCAATGTCAATGTGGGTCACGATTTTGCAACAAGTATTTCCGACATTTCGCTTAATTATCCCATCTTCTTCGATAATAATTTATCTGAAGCACTGGATCTCTTTGATCCGCTTCCGTCATTATCAAATTTAAACGACAGATTTATTGCTACTCTTATGCTTTTTCATTTTTTTATATTTGGCTGTTATTAGCAAAAGTTGAAATCGTCGAGTATTCAAGAGGAGATAATAGTATTTCGATCGAATTAAATTAAAGCTTAAATTAAATTAAAGTTTGCTTAATTTTATTTGCATTATTGGAGACTTTTGCGTGCATTATTTGCCACAATGAATCAGTTTTTAATTTTCCTAGGAATATATATATATATATATATATATATATATATATATATATAAAAGAAAACAGTGCGAAAATGAGAGAGATATGTGCCACATCACGTGCGCATTCCGCGACGCTGCCGTAATCGAAATGTTGATGACATTTGTGTCGAATATCTTTAGACGAGCTTTTTTCAGTCACTGAAAGTAAAGCAAAGTCTTAGCTTTGAAGCGTTTACGGAGAATATTCTCTTAGTACAATAATATAGAAGAGAAATTTTTCTTCTTTCTTAAAGTATTTTATAAAATTCGATACTTGATAAATTATACACGTCGATTTTGACAATTCGCGATATAATGAATCTTCCTTTTTTTTATTTCTACATTTACGTCTTATTTTTATGTACGGTAGCGAACTCTCTTAATGGGACTATAAAATTCTCTAAATTATTCATTGCTGTTTTCATAGTTTTAAGCAAGATTCAAATGCAGAATAGGAACATGTTTTACAGTTACATCGCGCTTTTCGATCAACACATTTATTTCGAATTCTTTTCTCGTTTCTTCCTGTTATTATCCGATAACAGTCGATGAATATTTATTCGTCGGTCAGTTACATTTCGTTCATTATTGATTGCGACGTATTGCAGATAACATCGTCGCGTCATCGTCAAAAAATACACGTACACGAATCCACAAACGAGAAAATCGTCCGCTTACTCGGTTCGCTTCGCGCGTCGATTATCCGATCGCGGATGCTATCGGCATTCCTAGCTGAAGCCTCTCCTGGCAGGGAAGACGAACGAATCTAGAAACGAGATTCTCCGGTTGAATTCCTCGATGATTGTTCCGCCGGGGCGACGTCGCGGTTTGATCGGAATGTATAACTCCAATTATCCGGGGCTGAGATTAAAGTAGTCCGCACCATTACCGAGGACGCTCCTTGTCGTCGTCGTCGTCGTCGAGCATGACGTTTTGGGTAACTTCCAAGCGACGATACTCGTCGGTTCTTCCGGCCACTTTAGGCGCACGTATGTACGCGTGTACTCACGCAGCGCACGCATTACGCAAAGAAGGCAATTAGGCGGTAAACAGTGGACGTGCGGCGGAACCAGATGCTTCATTGATTTGCCTGGCGAATGATGCACGGGAACGGTGCCGGCGAAGAGGAATGGATGCCTATTAGGATAGCTTATGGTGGCCGGGCCGCCGCCGGTTGCGTGATTTATGTAAATGACGATTGCCGATCGTATGTACGCGCGCGAATAATTAAGGTGGACGAAAACGCGTCACGACGTCGTATTTATATACGTTCGATGCTCTCTGGCATTCTATTCAAAAACACGACTGTATATCTGCATGTATCTCTCGCGAATTCCGATGGTAATTTTCAAATTTTATTATTGCAATCGGTAATCGTAAATTTTGATCGCGCCCGATGCTGGCATATTTTACAAATTTTATTAACATTTTTTAATATGTTTTTTGATACGTAAATTTTATTGTCGCGGTATTATGTGACGAGCGATAATTGGTGGGAAAATTGAGATATTTAATTAGTTTCTGCAATTTTAAGATTTTTTTCGAATCTTTATGATAATGAATTGTTTAAAAGAGGCTTGGCTGTTTTGTCGCTAAGGTTACAGTTATCACAGTTCAGGCGAACGCTAATTTTATACTCAATTAATGATACATATGTCACAGTTTTATCATCAAGATATCTGTTCTACGAAAATAATTTTTTATAGTATGTGCTATTACAATATTATATAATATCTTATTTGATTATATATATATTTATAATTATGCATCACAAAATTTAAAACATGAAATAAAAAAACATAAATAATTTTGTCTACAAAACTACTTAAAATGTACTACTACTTTTACGTGAATTATACAAAATTATTAATGTTATTGTTTCTTAACAAGCAATAAGCAATAACGCAATTAATTATCAGAATAAATCTACTTGAAAAATAATATTTATCTTCGTAAATATTCTTTTTCTTCGAAATTTGAATTATGTAATAACACCATAATTTCCAATATATGTATATAACTTTCTTATTTTTCATCTTTATATCAAATATAATCTAATATATTTTCTTAATTAATTATGAGTGTGACGTAGTGTCATTTATTACCAGTACAGAATGTACGGAGAACTTTGGACAGTTCTATTAAAGTTTCCCCATTAACAGAACTTCATTCAAAGTTTATAGTTAAACTTTAGATAGACTTTACTTACACGTGTTCTCTCCCGTTAACCTAATTTCATTCTGTATGTACCCATGAATAAACAAATGCACGAGATTACAAATAGAATAGCATTTCTTAGCGGTTAAACGAGTAAAGTTTCAGCAAAGGTCAGTGTGGTCTAGTTACGGTATTCTTAGATCGTCTGTCTTCTCGATCTAGTCGTACAGTAGAACTCTTCGTTTCGTCAGTGTTTTTTACACTGAGTGCTTTCAATATCAAAGTAGCCTCAGTCGATTTACTAACATTAACTTAGTCGAAATAAATTTTAATCGCGTCTATATTAAAAGTTTTAGTAATAGAGAAAGAAGGAAAAAATAGATTATCACAATACATACATATTTCACGAATTTTTTAAGTAGAGATAAACATTCATATACAGATATATTCATATATATTCATATATACAATAGATTATTATTTAAACTGTCTGAATATACTTCTAGTTTTTATCATGTTAAAGTCAAAATCGCTTACATGAAATGCGATGAATTAAGGTGCATCAAATTGAATTTGTTCAATCATCCGCAAGACATTATTGATATGCACTTGAAATAATATTGTGGTTTTATCGGTTTCATTTTTCGGAGCAGGAACGAATGATAGGAATATTTTTTATCGAGTAAACAATTTAGTACGAATATCGAATATCAGTCAAACAACACAGCTGACACAAGATCAATTGTTTAGCTTATTTTGCGGAATTTTCGACAATCTAAATAGAGTGTTGAAACGCGCTGTCAAACGCTCAGATAAAGTCATCGCGTGGCGATAAAAGGCACGATGAACTAGAACGCTGATAAAAAATTGAACGACTGCTAGTATCGAGTGTCGAAGGATTTCTCAATATCAAATGAATATCGTGAATGGACACTGGGTATCGTATAAAATTAGCATCGAATAGTCAGCCCGACGCGGTCCAAGGATAATGTTTGATTACACATTCATTAATCATAGGTGGCACGAGTCTCTTGAACGATGATAATCCGGATTTAAATTCTACACCCGTCAAAGAATCGACGTGATTAAAAAAATCGATTGCAGGTGTCGAGTCTAATTAAAGATGTTGGATGAAAAAAGAAAGAGAAAGAGAGAAACGAGAAAGTGTTTTCGTTGTTACGTATATCATCGATTAATCTGTTGCGAATGAATCGAAAGCGCAATGAAATGAAGGAGATAACTGCCGATTTATATAACTATTATAAATTGCAATAATATATTTCAAAAATATTTTACATCATTTAAAATATTTTTAAAATATATTATTGCAATTTATAATAGTTATATAAATCATTCATTGACATAAAAATAATTGTAACTTTTTCTTCATTTGTTATATTATTGAAAATGAAGAAGATATGATTTACAAATTTATTAATAAGTATTGATAATTGTCATTAACCGTTTATTTAAATTTATCAAAAAAAGATGCCAGTTTGATATAAATACGAAGCAAAACTAAACTTCTTGTTCATGGCTACAAAATTCGTAAAAGTAAGCTCATTTTGGATGATATATAGTTGTATGTGTATTACAATATATGGCATATTAAATTGTAGATAAATACCTTGAATTTTATCATAATTTATAGATTATCTAAACATGACCTTTAAAACTTGAAATTGAAGATGTTTGCAAGGTCACGGTTAGCATTTTCGATTCTTTTAAATAAAATAACGTTCTTGGTAAATCTAATGAGGGAATAGATACGATCAGCTGATTGCTTAAACGTTTGTCCGACAATTTTAGACAACAATATAATTGAACGTCCAAAATAGAATTTATCAGAATACAACGAACATAATCAGAATATTAATTTTAAAGCTTAGTAATTTAATATAAATAATAAATCCTTCCCCTTTCCTCTTTCTTTCTCTCTCTTTCGTGACATTACTCTAATGCTGATTGAGATTTTAACTTTATAACATATTACATTTTACGCAAAACTATTACGCAACATTTTATTCAAGGTCTTGTTTCGCTTACTACTTTCTCTTAGAGTCGGTGAAGACATTGATTCGCTATATTATTCAAATGCGAGTTAGAATATATCAATAAACCGCTTAAATTCTTCAATAATTAATGAGAGAATACTCACTATAATCGGAGGAATCATCATTGGAGCCGTTCACCGTGCCATCCGGCAGGATTTGTAGATGACGATTCCTAACGTACATCTGTATCTTTCGCGAGGACCCGGTGATGTGCGAGAGATTGGCCGATCTTTCGGCGCGGGTGCCCGCGTCACCGGTCAGATCGATCGATCTTGCACTCACTGCACTAATAATCGCGCCGATCCCCAGAACACTCGCGGTCGGTCTCGCACTGAACTTAATCACACCCGACAAGCCGGGTCCGCATCGCCCGAAGGCGACGAGGAAGAGAAGAAAGGCCAGTTGAAGGAACGAGCGGACGCGGTACGCGCGCCTGTTTCTGATCCTCTTCCTGTCCTGGTCGAGCCTTTCGATCCGCTCCCTCTCCTGCTTCGCCGAGCGTTCATCGAGTCCTCCCGAATCGCGGTTCGATCGCGCGCTCTCGTCCGGTCGCGTGTCGTTAAATTGCTCGCCGAGAAATCCCTCATCATCCTCCCCGAAGGATCGCTGCTCCGAGCGAGTACACGAACGGTGACTAGAGAGAAGAGAATTTTCTTCCGTTATCCTCGTCCTTCCCAGACAATCGGTCTGACGCCGATATCGGATATCGAGATTCTTCCTATCGCAGACCGCGGGCCGCGGCCGCGTCTGGGATCGATCTTGGAGACTTCGACGCTCTGCAATCGAATCCGCTATCGCGGGGTCAGGCTGTCTTGTCTCGACGTCTCGTAGCCGCGATTCCGCTCGCTCTTTCTCCTCGCTCTCCTGCGACTTCCACGTGATCGGGAGACAAACATTCTCGATTATGCGCGGGAATTCCCTCGACGCGAGGTACGCTAGAAATCCGTCTCCTCTTCGTCTTCGACGCGAGGACTGCGATGACGCGCGATCCGTCGCTGACGGAATCGTCTCTTCCCGGTCGTTGATTCTCGGGATCCTCGTGGATGAACCGAGCACGGACAGCGATTTTTGATTACGATAATTCGTCGTCGGCTGCACCTCTCTCGCGTGAATCCCGATTTGCTGTCGTCGATCCTTCAGGGCTCTCCTTCTCGCCTCGCTCGGCCCTCGGTCTTCATCGATCCCGGGAAGTCTCGCGAAAATCGACACGTGAATCGACGTCGTAGTCGGGCGGTCGGCACGGGAATTACAGTGCAGCACCCAATGCCCGCCCGTGTCAACCTCAGCGGGCATGACGGTCTCATCCGACACTTCTCTCTTTGCTCTCCTCCACCTTAGCCGCGTTTGTAATCGTCTCCCGCAGGATTTACCGCCGTCGCAACTTTCACTCTTGCGTCTTCCGCGCAAGAGCGCGAAGACCACCCTCGCTTTTTTCCACCGGTGCTCCGAGATCGTTGTCTTCGTTATCGCCCTCCTCGTTGTCGTTAATACAGTATCGCTGAGGGCCGCGCGCGCTGCCAGCTGACATCACAGTCGATTTCCAGTCACTTCCGTCCTCTGAAGATAGCGTCTCGGGGAGATGTTAACCGCGAAGAATGAAGATTCTGATAAAGATACTGTCGGTTCGTCCATGCATCGCGTTTTCGACACTCTCGCATTATTGCTGTTATCGCCGGGCACGCGTCAGGATCAAACTGACCGGTCGGTATCGGTATCCCAGGACAATCTATCGCCGATGAGGAATCAATGAATCGCGGGGTGACATCTGGTTCACGGTGTTATCTCAGTTTTGACGATATAAACAGATGGAAAAATAGATAGAATGTATCGCCGAGGATGGTCGATGCACTGCGAATGATCCTGATAGTGAATTGATTCGATCGGCTCCCCGACGATGATGATCGGCGTGGCTGATCTTCTTTTAAACGGTTTTTTTCGCAGTATGCAGGTTGACGTTAACGGTTACTTTCGACGACCTCGCTCGGTCCTCGTCTCTTCCTCCCTTTCTCTCTCTTTCGTCTTCTCTCGTCTCTTCCTCTCCTTCTCTCTCTTTCGTTCGTCTTCCTTCTCTCTCCGCGTTGCTATTAATCGGCGAGAGTCGATACGCGTTACCTCGCACCGCCTTAACGGGTTTCTTTCTCTCTCCTTCTCTCTCTCTCTCGTTCTCTTTTTTTCTGCGGATCCTCTCCGCCGATCTGTCTCACCGATTTCCGTTTTTCCGGATCTCGCGTATTCTTCCGAAGTCGCTATCAATCATGGAATAATTCTCTCGCAAAAAATCGGCGCTAGTAGATCCCCACGCACTAACACTTCTTCACGATTAGTTATCATCATTCACGCAGAAAGAATATAAACCCTCCCCCTCTCTTAATCGACATCTCTCGCGGTAGAATACTTCTGTCGCAAACTTGCACTGATTCACATGACAGGAAGGGGACAAGATTCAAAATTGACTTGTAAAATCGATCGCGCGTGTTTCGACAAACGCCGTTAAAAATGCTCCGAAAATATCTCATCGATAAGGACCATTCGACCATCGATCTTTTCCAGTTTCGAAGGGGATATACGGGCGACGATCGGACGTTCGCGCGAGGCAGGACCGGGAGCCGGGCCGCCGGACCACGCGTACCACGCACGCAATTGTCACACGGGGGTCGCGGCCGCGCGCGCGCGCGGGGTTATCTCGCAGGGTCGGATGATGCCGGTGCGGCGTCCGAGAAACTACTGAACGAGTGCCGCGGTTCTCTTCCCCGGCTCGCCGGGTTCAGGCACGCTCCTCGGTTCGCTCTCGTAGAGAGACCGAACCGGCGCGGCGGCGGCAACGGCGGCGGCCCGGCGGCGGCGGCGGCGGCGGCGGCGGCGGTGGAGGCAGCAGCCGAGAGTGAAACCACCAACACTATACTACCAGTGGGACACACGACTCGGCTGGCTCTACTCACACGTGCCCGTCGTAGCAGCATCCGTTCCATCCCATCCCGCGCTCGCCGGCTGAAGGAGCCGGCCGGTTAGTCGGTAGCCGCGGCTGTCACTGTCGTTGACGTCCTCGTCGTCGTCGTCGTCGTCGTCGTCGTCGTCGTCGTCGTTCCGTCTCGTTTCGTCGCGTCGAGATCGTCGTCGCCGTCGTCCCGTTCCGCTTGGTATCCCCGTGTCCGCTTCCGTCCCATTCCACGGCAGCGCACAGCACGCGACAGATCTGGACGCTCGCTCTGGACGTATGTCGCTACCGCGCCAGCCTCACCACCATGACCACCACCATCGTCGGAGCCACCACTACCATCGCCACCACCACGCGCCGCAGCTTTTTCTATCCCCTCTTCTTCTCTCACGGGTTGCTGGATGGAATCTCCTCTTCTTCTTCTTCCGCGTTAAAAGACCTATCGCCGTCTCCGTCTTGTTCCTCTTCTTCCTCTCGGCAGCTTCACTCGTCCCGACTTCTTCTCCCGGTTATCTTCCTCCGCTTCTTTCGCTCTTCCTCGTTTTTTCCCTCCTCGACCGCGGATCGTTCTTTAATTCGCCTGATCTATCCCAGGTCTATCGCGGTGAACAACGTGTTCTCTATTTTTCTTTCTCCGTACAAATCGCGGAATAACAGAACGAGCAGGAGCCGCTGTTGCGGGAAGAAAAGAACGATCGGCGACAAGGGCCGTGAAGAACGTGCGCGAACACCTGCGAAGAACCTCAAGAAGTAAATAGCGATTAGAATTTCTTCGTGATTTCCTCTTTTCTTATTCTCTTTTCTTCTTTTTGTATCTCCTCTGCCGTCGTCGCACACTGTGCACTTCCTTTTAGGAGGGTGGTTTTTAATGTTTCTTTTACATTGACCGACATACGGATGCGATAATACAATCGGATGCTGTCACTATCGCTACTCGTTTTCTTCGGTTGCATCTTCCTCCCTTATTCGGAATCGAAGGTTGTCCGGTATGTTTGATGTTTCTGCAAATGCAAAATAAATAATTATATTCAATTAAAATTAAAATTAATTTAATAAATCATTATATTCAATTAAAATTGAAATTAATTTTAATATTAAGAATGAATATTTAATTTTAATGATTGCCCCCGATATTTCTTTCTCTCATGATTTCAGGCTATCAAAGTGACTTATGACTTATGTTAAATTAAATTGCTTCGCGTGAAAGCTCGCACTCGATTGACAGATCGATCCGATATATATATCAATTCTTTTCTTATTCGAAGGAAACTTGTCGACGCATTCCAGAAGTGGATCCGCTTTTTATTTGTGCTTGTTCGTTACATCGGAAGAGAATGGAAAGAAACCTCTAACCATGTAATGCGATGAACGCATTTCCAATGCTGACGTCTTCTACACACTGAAAAAATTGTATTCTCATCTTAAGGATATACCACTTATCTTTATAATATATTTTATTAAATAGGCGTCAAGAGGATTCTCTTAATTTAAGAGGTAAATCTTCTAAAGATTCTTATATTAAATATTCTTAACAGATAAGAATATATACTTAATGGGATGTTTTTTTTATTATTTGAGTTGGGGCGCAAAAGTCGCAAATTAAGAATATATTCTTATTCATTAAGAATATTTATTAAGAGGACTTATAAAGTATACATTTCAAGAATACAATTTTTTCGGTGCATTTATAGTTACATGTTTTTCGTGTGCATGATATGTCTGAAAATATCGGAAGACGGGAATATAAAGTGTAAGCCATCAGAATGACTAGATGTTCTCGTAGATTCACGATTAAGCTAGAATCAAAGTTCTTCCGATACTCGTAAAAGAATTTCGTCATCCTGATTTATTGCGATTTTTTATCTTTTAACATACACATACATTTAACATACCTGTATATGTGGCAATAAAATTCCATTTCACTCAATAACTTTTAAAATATTTTATTTTATATAATAGAAGATGCAAAACACAGGATTTTGTTACCTATTTGCATCTTTGATTTATAAAAAAATGTTTAATTGAGTTTAATTTTAAGAGCAATGATCTTGAAATTATTGATACTTATTGAGATAGTTTTCCAATTCATTCTGTCTATATTAAATATAATTTAATAATTTAATAATTTAATAATATAATTTAATTAAAAAAATAAAATTTAGTAAATTTAATAAAAATTTTAAAATAAAAAGTTTATTTATAAACTTTTAATATTTTTTTTATTTTAAAATTTTAATTAAATTTACTAAATTTTATTTTTTTTATTAAATTATTAAATTATTATATCGGTATCTGAAACATTTTATAGATTTTTTATGTATCTGAGATAATTCGAGAAACAGTGTTTTTTTGGGGGATAGAAAGGGAGAGCTTTCTATTCTGGTGGTCCGATTACGCAATTAGTCGCTTTGCGATTCAGTTGTTAGGCTTTGAACACGACGCGGTAAGTCATTTGAAATCGTTCTTACCATTGCTCATAAATACGAGAAGATACGAAAGGCGTCCAAATAGCGGAAAAAATGAAATAAACGAGCCCCAAGTGACCTGCGACAGAAAATATTCCAAGAAATATATCGAAGATTAAGATACTAACATTTTTCCATCTCTATTCTGACATTCTAAATATCACATAGCGTTCTTCAACATTGGAGTACATTTTTTAAAAATCGAAATAAAGCGGCAAATAAAAGTACAAGAATAATGACACATATATAATGACACATAAATAATAGATATAATAAATAATTTTACTCTTCGCTTCTTTTTTAATTTTCGTTAGGTTTCTCTTTAATAGAATTTTAAATTGTTCAATTGGTAGAACATTTAACATTGAATTTATTCAAAAAAATGTATACTGAAATATATTTGCGAATTTGACAAGAAAATTTACGAAGAAATCATAAAAATTTTATTATAAATACATAAGAAATATTCGTGCAATTGATTTTTTAATTGTTTTTGAATAAGTTAAGCATCATGGGAATATCCGGTTGAAGTTAATGATATCGAGTTACTCATAAAAATGTATGAATTTGACAAATCTTTCAAAGGTAAATTGAACAATAAAAAATATTCTTTAAGTCTGTCAAGAATTCTTTAAAAAAATTATCAGAGACTAAGTGATGTCATTGATATGCGTTTTCCTTGTTCCTAGAATAATTTAGAAAAATGATACATAAAATTTCTGTAAAAATTTGAAAAATGCAAGAGTTTCGAAAGTCGCAAATTTAAAAAATATTCGACTGCGATTGTCAATTTGTTTACGACTAACGACTAATATCTTATTGTATAGACTGGGCATATTAAAAAAAACCTCTTCGAGACTTTTGTCGCATAAATTCATGCTTATTAGCTTAGAATGATATGTGAAAGTGACGATTATTAGAATTTATTAAGTTGTAATTTATATGTCAGACAAAATTAAGATGAACAATGTAAATCTTTTTACATAATATATGCATAATAGCGAGAATTGAATGTTATATCAAACACTAATAGATAGATAGCGCAATTTTTTGTTCTCTTAATAAGTATTAATGATTGCTGTTGCTCTCTAGAAAGTCATTGATCGCAGCTGCGCAAATACCAATGAAAGCCAGTCTGGATGCTGTGAGGGAGAGGAGAGATAGGTAAATGAAATGGAAAGATAAGTGAAATATAGTGCAATAAATTTATTTATTTATCAATCTTAGACAGAGCTAAAACGACAGACACGTGTTGTTCTTAAAATCATATTAAGACGTACAAAGGATACTTCCGCATACAAATTATGTTGAGATATAAAACATGAAGTTTCGAAAAGTTTCAAGTAAATTTCAGCTGATAAAATTTCAGATTATAGTTTGTTTAGTCACAAAAATTTAACATTGGGAAGCTGAAAGTGATTAGAAAAAGTAGCTGTGAGTAGGTTTTATGCATGAGTAGGTCTTGGGCATGATATTGTTGAAAAGATACACACTCTCTCTAATATTTACAAAATGATACAACTAATTTATGCGTGCATAAGAGCATGTAAATTATGGAAAAATCTCTTGTCCAGGTTCTCAGATAAAGTACAATACATTTTAAGCTGGTGTATAGATATGATGGAACTCGGAAGCAAAAGTAAATCGCCCAACGTGGGGCTCGAACCCACGACCCTGAGATTAAGAGTCTCATGCTCTACCGACTGAGCTAGCCGGGCTTGTTACACCTGGTTATAAAAGCAAGTTTATAACAAAATAAATTTAAGATTAATTATTCATCAAGTCTTATCTATATCAAAATCTAAATATTACATCTTAAGAGCCTGAATAACTTAGTGATAAGAGCAGCATAGGAAATAAATTCTCTTACAAATCATAAATATTGAACATGAAATGGGCTGAATATGAAATCCAATCGATCGATATTATTATCTATAAAATTATTATACATATCTATAAATAGGATATGGGATAGTTATCATAGGATTGTTATCGTATAATTATCTATGATGACGAGAGATATCTCTTATCGAACACATCTATTTTTAAAGATATGATCTGTCAAGCGTTAATTAATCGACCAGAGTTTATTATCAAAGCCCATTTCTTTATCTCCAGAATAAAATATCATTGAAATATAGATTGACTCACAGCAGAATTATCGATTTACTAATATCTGAAAAATCATGCTAATAATACTACAGATACCATAGGATTTCTATTTGCAACAGTAATCTCTATTATTTCATCAATTTAATTGATCAGTTTAACATTATATATTTTAACATTTATAATATATTTAATATCATTAAGTAAATGATAAATTATATATAAATTATATATAAATTATATAAAAAAAAATCTAAATATTAAATAAATCAAATAATTATTACCATTCAATTTCTGGATGGGACACAAATATGTCGTTTCTAATGATTCATTTATGTCACAAAGAAATATTTTGTTTTTGAAAAATTCATGATGCATCGAAAATGTACGAGAATTAGTCGCTTTATACGAATTTTCCGAGATGTAGAATATATATTTCCATGTGTCGCGTTTTCTTTCAACAGATCATTCTACGCGATCATTTAATTAGAGGGGCGTCATTGCTTTTGTATTTATACATTATAACGAGCCCGAGGGTTTTTCGCTGGGATGATATTATAATCATCGGCGCTAACGGACGTTCGAATACAAGGGCATGATCAGGCCGCAGCAAAAGAATAAGTCACGAGGGGGACAGACAAATGCAATGGCGTGGTACTCAATTTATGCAAATGAAATGTTAATATACAACTGGTTTCACTTGTAAAAATATCTTTCGACTCAATCTTTTTAATATATACATATATATAATTATAATTTTTAAATATATTATATATTATTAATATAATTATTAAAAGTTTTTATGTTTAAAATATTTTGTGAATATGCTTAGAACAATTACAAGTAAAAAAAAATATAAATAAAATATAATAATAAATAAAACGATAATTTATAATTCAAGAATAGTTGAGAAATATACACGATTTCGCAAAATATTTTAAATATAAAAAATTGCCAATGTGCGTAATTTTAAATTTGATAAATTTAATTCTAAATAAATTCTTACGACATTAATCGAAAGATATTAATCGCACAAACGAGCGACGCAAACCGTACACGAGTAGTTTTTGTACAAGTGTGCTGTACAGCTATAAACCTTTACGAAGTGATCAAGTTTTATGGGAGTGCTAAGTGTTAATTAAATCTCGTCCACGGTTTTCGCGCAATCGTTTTTCCGGCGAGGATAATTCAGTGACGTTTACGAGGGCTTCTGCGCCAATGAAGGGTGCCGCGATTTTATAGTTTAATAATAGAGCGGTGCGCGGGTATAGAGAGTGTTTGCTTATCGCATCCCTGATTTCCAGCCGAAGACACGACGCCGTCGTACGCGGTTTATAGGAGAGGATGGACGAGCGAGTCGAGAAAGAGAGAGACGAAGA